TCCTTTCCTTTCCTTTCCTTTCCTTTCCTTTCCTTTCCTTTCCTTTCTTCCCTTCCCTTTCCTCCCTTGTGAAATAATGAAAAAAAAAGAACATTGATTACTTTGAACTATGGATTATATTGTACTAATAACACCATGAGGTTCAGGTAGAACCTATCATCTGATCCTGAGTGAAATAAACACTGATGGCATTCTTGAGGCCAAGATCAGAAAGCAGAAGTTCATGTGATTTAGGTATTTGATGAGAGCAAATCAAGCCTAGAAAAAAATTATAATTGGCAAGGTTCAGGTGTACAGAAGAATGGGAAGATGATCAGTAAGGCAGATGAATGAGATCAGGGAACAGAATGAAATATCCTTGAAAAGTGTTACCATGATAAAAATGGCAGGAATTTCTTGGAAACAACACAATAGCCACTAATTAAATTGTTGGCATATAACTAACTAGAGAAGGAAATCAAGTGTCTCTGTAGATATATGTTCTTTTATTTGATGTGCTTTGGCGTTCTGCAATGCACTTTGCTTGGCTGCTGCCTTTCATCCTTAATCTTCTTGGCTAGGAATTATCTTCTGGTCAGATTTGAGAAGCTCAAACTCACATGAGATCATGATTCAAACCTTTTATGATTACAAAAAAATGTACTGGTCTTTTTTATTCCTATCACAGATTGATCTACTCTTGCCTTTCGGCTTCTGCTTCTTTCTGTCCCAATCTTAATAATCAATGCTCAGTTAGTTTACAGTCTGTAAAAATTAGAAGGGAGTAGGATTTGCTCTCATTTTATATACTAATGGTGTTAATCTTGGTAGTTCCTTGATTAGGCTGTTGTTTATTATTAGCTTGTTTGTCTGATGATGTAGCACCAGGCACAGGAATCAATTATGAAGTTAATACTATGACATTGGGCCAGTCTTTTATGTAATCTTTTTTACATGGTTAGGGTTAAAGGGAAAACCATACTCTCTTATGAATCTTAACTCCTTTAAGTATGAGCTAGTTTACAGGAGCAGAATCAACAAAAGAATGACATCATTGGTATCATCATCCCCCCACCACCACCACCACCATTTTCACTCACAAGATGTCTTCTATTTTTTAAATGTGACTAGGAGGAAGAGAAAGGAGCCTGGATTTCACTATAATCTGTTTCTAATAATTTGAAAAAAAATTAAACCAGATCTGTAGGTTTGGACCATAATTTAGAAGTCACTCTGAAAAAACAGGAGGAGGGAAAGAGTTTTGAAAAATAAAAGAACTGGCCCAACTCTTCGAAAACATTTAGTTGGCAAGTCTGCGTTTTTTCCTTTTAATCTGTTTTGATCATACCTTGAACCATTAGTTCTGCAGTCACAGAAGCCTTCCCAGCATTATTCATCAAGGTACAAGTGTAAATTCCAGCATCAGCCAGCTGAACATTTTGGATTTCCAAAAACTGGATGCCTGCTTTCTCAAACATGTTAAAGTGATCATTTTTCTGCACCTGAATTTCATCCTGCATGCATCAAGAAATAAAATGACATGTCTAGATGTATTCATGAAAAGAGAAAAAATATATCATTTAATTTCATGTTTTATTATTTTCTTTATTTCACAATGCAGTGCTTTCCTTGCCATATTCATATAATATTAAAATGCTCCTCAAAAATAAACCACTCCACCAGAAACAAAGTAATTGACAACTAAAAAGACCAAAGAAGTATTTTTTAAAGTTTTTTTTTAGCATGTCGGAGTCCTGACATTAATACTCAAAATACGAGCATTATAGAGTTAGTTTCTTTAAACCAGATCAGATATTTACCTTCTAAACACTGGATCAAAAGATATTTTTATTTGAAAAAGACATGTCTGAGCACGACATCCTTGAAGGTAACTTCTAAGTGTTTGCTTCTCTTAGCTCTTTCTGTTGGACTTCTCAACATTAAAGCAGGCAGTGAAAAAATATATGATAAAGTGGGCCAAAACTGTAGTTATAATATACAGATGGAACAATGGAAAATATGTGGTTGAAAGGACTTAAATTTATATTATACTATAATCTTAAATATAATTTTTATAAAATGAGGTACCAGTGGTGCAATGGTGTATGTCAACAGAGAGGTTACTTAGAATATTTAAAGGCAATTCAAATTTATGTTGGAAATGTGAGCAACAAGAAGGGACATTTTACCATGTTTGGTAGACATATAAAAAAGCTAGAAAATTTAATACACTGGATCAAAGGATTTTAAAGATTAATATACAATGGAAACCAGAGGTTTTTCTTGTGGGGTTGATGGACAAACAGTTGAAAAACTCATAGAACTTTGTTTTATACATAACTGTAGTGAAATGATTGTATACCCAAAGATAGGTAGATTCGGCACTACCCACAACAGGGAATGGCTGAAGATAATATAATTTTGCAAAGATGGCTAAATTGACTTTGAAAAGATAAGACAGTATCTATGTTTATTGATGACTGAAAACCCCTTATTGCATGAAACAGAATAAAATTAACTTATGATTTATATTTTTGATGATGACAGAATATAGAAAGAAGAGAGCTAGCTATTAACCATCGAGTAAGAGGTAATATTGTAATTGTACTTAAAACTCTTGTAAAGAAGATCAGAAGCTACTTTTACCTTTCTTGGTCTCTTTCTTATTCTCTTCTTTTTCTCACTTTATATTAGTTTTTATTAGTTTATATCTTCTTAAAATTATGTAATAAAACTGTGTATTTTACATACATATACACACAAACAGGCCAGAATTGAAGGGCAATGAGTGGGTAGAGTGGCCATGATCTATAAGAATTCCATCTTGCTAACAAGATGTTCCATCCTATATACTCTGTCAATTTGGAGGGCATATGTTTAGATGGGTGGGATATGTATGGCTACTGTTAGCTACCATTCATCCTGCTATCTTTTCCTCTTCCCTAGATGGGTTGCACATTCTGATGTAATTAACCATGTTCAACTAGGATCTGGCCTATGATTGTAGTATGGCACATGCTGGATTTCACTTTCTGTTCAGGTGGAACTTCATCATCGTGGACAAAGCAGATACTCAAGAGTTTTACCCAGAATCCATAAAATTTTATCCATAAAATTCTGCAGGGGTAAAGGACCCATACACGAACCCAGGTACCCAACAGATTTGAATGATTTATTGATTATGCTTCTGTATCATTATTTGCAATGCTGTTGATGGAAGTGAGCTGGTACTTGATGCTACCCTACTATTTCAAAGCATTCTCTTCCTTCTCATAGAGCCACATGGCATAGTAGGGAACAGACATTGATGAAGTAGATAAGACATCAATTACAGCAGAGCACAGAAATTCTCAGGTGTAGTCAGATAAAGTGAGCAAAGCACATCTAAATAGTTCAATTGCAGTGGAGACAGAAATAATACTTATTTCTTTAACTCCAAAGCATCTATATTGAACTTGCCAACACAGCTTTTCCTAACTGTATGACATTTCTTCTACCACGGGAAAGCTCTGGGATAATTTATATTGTGATGAATCTACAATATTCTTTGTGGTCAGGATAATTAAATCTGTTCACAATGTGACATTGGGGTAGATTAGAGAAATGAAACTCCCCCCCCCCTCTCTCCTCATTTGTATTGCTTCAAAATTATGACACACATTCTCAAAGGACTTGAATTTGACTCCCAACTCTCTTAGCATTCAGAAAATCTATAGAGACAGATTTCTTTTACTGGTATTTTCACTTGTAATTGATTCTGACAACTATTCTTAATTTTAATAGGTTTAATTTTAGCTTCATGTTGCACAGAGACAAGAAATTATCTGATCATTTTACACCATCAGAAGTCAGAAGTATTACATACCACTAAAATTAGAACACTTTGAGATGGCAACGTTGACTTGTTGGGAAAAAGACATTCTTAATAACCAGAAACCCTATGTTTTGTGAAAATTGAAAAAAAAAATGAACATGTATTTTATAGTTTGATGCTTAAAAGGGATAGAATATGGGGAAAAAAAGGAAGCCATGATGAAACCTTGGAGAGAAAGAGGATAAAATATAAATGCATTTATAATTTAACAGATAACGGATAATCCGAGTTGTAAGGGACCTTATAGGTCATCTAGTCCAACCCCACGCCCAAACGGGAAACCCTACACCATTTCTGACAAATGGCAGTCCAATCTCTTCTTGAAGGTCTCAAGTGATGGTGCTCCCACAACTTCCGAGGGTTTCTGTGAAGATCAGAAGCTACTCCTTTATATCTTTCTTTTTTCCTTTTATTTCTTTTATATTTACTTATGAATTTTCTGTTACTTTATTTTTTCCTTATTATTTTTACTTCGCAAAAAACTTAAGTAAAAATTAGAAATTGAATAAAGTTAGAACATTTTTGTATGAAAGTCTGTCTTTCAATGTTACTAAAAGGATACATTCTGATATGCCAAACCACAATTTTACTAGTGATGCAAATGGGATCTAAAGGATCTATTTCCCCCCTAAATATAATACTAGACTAGGAAAAGGAAAAATGAACCAGGATTGAAGATCCTCTCAATATACAAGTATAATCAACTCTTCAGAAAATCTAAATAGCTGTGAAAACAACTATACCTTGAACCAGATGACCCGAGGCTGAGGTCGTCCTGTTATCTTACAGGAAAATTTACCACTCTGTCCTTCTCGTACAATAACCCGGTTGGGTTTTGTAGCAAACTTGGGCGGACATTCACCCCAGATGCTTGGCCGTTGTTCTATAGGTAGAACAGCAGACTGACCCCTGGAATGAAGTAATCAAATAGTATTACTGAATCATGCTTCTTACTGAATTTCAGAATATTGCAGGCAACATCTAATATGGTGCCACTCTAGAAATGAATTCCAAACATATTGTCCTGGAGTACATGTATCTTCAAGCATTAGAAAACAAAAGCTTGCTTTTTTCCAGTATTATGAGAAGGCGCACATGCCCACATTTGAACAAATGGTAGATTTAGACTTGGCACAAGCATATACTTGATCTCCATGAAAACTCTTGCACTTAAGAAGAACGGAAACTCTGTGCATGCATGTTAGTGTGTGCATTATGGAAGTGCAAGTTCAGTAGATATATAAGAATGATCTTTACAATACAATTCACCTGAATTTAAATAACATTTTACTTACTGATTTCATGCAATATACACAGAAATGCACCTCCCCCCCAAACCCCCACATTATTTGACAGATCTAACTGCAATGCAGCAAATAAGCTTTCTTCTTGGTCATTATTTCCTGAATTCTTGCACATTCTCTTACCATCATCTGAGTCCAACTGAACTGTGTGAGTCTTTGGAAGAACTATGCAATGTTGTACAAGCATAAATCAGGTATCTTTCTCAAAGCTACCATTAGATTAAGATGAAAAATATCTGAGTTATCCCTCCATCCCCAGGATAAAATGTAGGAAATTTCCATTTGAAGGGCTTGGAAAAAATACCTAGCCCAGAAGCCTCTTTCTACTTGCAAAAGTAGTGATAGAAAGAAGCCATCGTGATCAAAAAGGAAAGAAAAACAGCCCCTCTATTGATAATATCCCACACTTGGCTTTGACTTTCACAGAATATTTTTCCAAGTAAATAAACTTGTATGATTCTGTAAAGCAGACTCTAATACATATATTTTTGGAAGAATTGGAACTATTTACTGCAGATGATTTCTGGCACTTCATCTAAAAACACTAATTATGCAGTTTAAACAAGGTATCTGGAAACAACACAACACAAAAAAATCAGAATCTGTTTTGCAAAACTGTAATTCATTTTAAGTAAATATTAAACAGGTAATACTTTTTGATACTGGGTCCTATCATGTTTGACTGATGATAAAAGGTTTAAATAAGGGTGGTGTAGGGGAGAGATAAATGGAATGTATTTTGTTTCAGGTACATGCTGTAAAACTGTCATTATTTGGCTTGGTTAATTTGGGGAATAATTCCTGGCATATTTGTAAAGGTGCAGGGAGAAACCCTCTTGTTCTTGATGTTTCAGTCAACTGGTACATTTACTACCTTATGAGCACCCTTTTTAAATGTTAAGTACTAAAAGTTATTTAAAAAGTAATACTAAGAAGCTTGTAAGAATTTTGTGATTTGAGAATCAGCAGCTGGGGAACATTAGTTTTTATCCTTTCTCTATTTTTAAAGATGATGAACATGTTGCCATAAATATCTCAGAACAAGGCCTTTCAAAAAAAGATCAGAATGTGTCCCTTGCTATGTATGATGAATTAAATTAATTATATATTTTTGCAATGTTCATCAAGCTCTGCTTGTATTTCAGAAATTCAAAGGTCAAATAACCAATACCAGTTCAGTGAGTTCATCATTTAAAACTGTGATAAAAAGCCATAAAATAAGGAACAGTAATAGAACATTCAATATACACTAAGCAATGCCTATTTAGTCTTGTTCATACCAGTTCTTCACCAGTTCTGGTGGACCTGGATTTTTATAAATTTCCAAGCCAAAATACTATTGGCTAAATTCCAAAAAATGTCAAGCACAGAAGGTTAGAATTAGGTTTCCAGGAAGTCTGGTTCACTTTGATGGCAACTATCACCATCACACATAGTAGTGAATAATCAACAGTGATGAAAATGAAGCTGTGAGTTTCAAGCAAATTTAAAGTCATGGTTATGGCTCTGCACAAAATGCTTACCCATATGCAAGCAAGTTTGCTCATCTTCTGCAATATATTACAATACTTAAAGAAACTTACGAGATTTCAGCTCAAAAAGTAAACACTACATTGTAAACAATGTAATATAGGGAAACTTAATATGGAAATTATAGTTAGGTGATAATCAATTAGCTAAACATATTAAAGGGCAAAGAAATTATAAAAGTTGGGCCACCAATGACCTCTCTCTATTTCTTGCTTTAAAAAACACCTAGCAGATAAATATTATAATCTGTACTTCCTAGTGAAATAATAGTTAAAGAGTCATATTAGAAAATACATGAAATACATGAAACCCCCAAAAAGCAAGTTTCTATTGGCCACACTAGAGATGCCTAGATTAGATCTAATAGCAAATTTAAAAAGAAATAAATTTGTGGAATACATTACTTATAAATTTGGTTCAAAGTTCTGTCAGCTGAACAGAGTAAGTACAAAAGAGGCCAAATGGCTTACAATTCTTAACAATACTGAATACTGTAAAAAGTAAGGAAGCTGAACTTGACAGAAGTGTACAGGAACCATTACCTAGGGAAATGAAGCCAATTTTTTTTTTAAGTTGAGAGAAACAAGATTATTTGGAAGTGGCTCAGACACAGGTCTCCCTAATTCACAAGAGTATAAGAAGGAGAAGAAACACCACTCAACCAGATTTGCATCAGTAATATGAACTCCACTAGTTAGGCTAGACAGGAAAATATATTAACATTGTCATAAATATATAGTTCCATGAAATGTTTTGAATGCAGAATTACTATGACTAAAGCCAAACAGAAAATCTTGCCTTCTTTAGATATTTCAAAAGCTCTGCATGTTATGGAATAGATATCTGCTCTTAAGTATATAAATGCCACCCAAACTCTTACCCAGAACTTTTGGAACTGGAAGGCAAGTTATATTTCTTCAAAACTTTTCCTAAAAGAGAATAGAAAAATGGTCAGACATAAAAAAATACTTTATCAGGACCGCAAATCATTGGGATCCTTAACTGAATTTATGGATTTTTCTATCTCTATATCTCGCAACAACATATTTGTTCATGATATTTTTTTTAAAAATACACCATTTGCTTCTCCATCTGTTCATTCATATCCACCTGAAAAACACATCTAATCAAGCTTTACTTACTTGTACCCATATGAGGTACAGTAATTGCAGCACACTAACAGCTATTTGCTGTGGCGTACTTTGAGAAGCAGCCCAAGCTACAGTCCTATACACCCAAATAAGAAACTTCTATTGAAAATATGGTTTATCTCCTTTGTCCACACATACAAATAGAACTGCTTAATTGTTTTTGCTATTTCAAAAACTGCTCATAGTCTTTCAGTGAGAAGTTTTTATTTAATTCCAAGTGACTAGCTTGAAGCCATATATTAATTCACCTGCCTGCATCTATTACTTTAATATATCTAAGACATTTCTATAACACATTCCTATGCAGAAGCAATCCAGGCAAAACTTTAAATCAGGGTTGAAGGTATTATGTTGTGAGTCTGCAGCACCATCTACTGGATGTGAGCAAGTGAATTTTATGAACTTTAATGGGTGGTACAGTTGGTTTCTGTAAAATATAGGGAACAGCATAAAATATTGAAAAACATTAATGCAATTTAATGCAAAATTTAGTAAATAGACATTTATGCTTATCTCAACAGAAATCATGGTAGTTAAGTCTGACATTTGTACCAAAATGTCCTCAGGTCAAATTCTCCCTATATCATGGGTTTCTTCTAGAGATGCTTATGCAAGCAGTAGGATAACCGTGTTCTATCCTTAAAAGTAATTGTTATAAATTACCTAGGTTAACCTGCTTTGAAATACCAAAGTAGTCTTCCCACTTGGTATCCTGCAGATGAGAATTCTGTATAAAAATAGCTCTGCTGGATCAGGTTAAGGCAAAGCCTTAGGCACAGCTCAACTCAGCATTCTGTTCCCAGTCAAATGCCTTTGGGTGCAGGAGGCACTGAAACCTCTTTGGAGAGATAGTTTTTCAAATCTTGGAGGGAAGATTGAGTATTTAGGGTAGATGGTATTCAGTCGAATTAATTCAGTTTCCTATTAAAGCCTCCAAGCTCTCAAAGACAATAGGTTAGATTAGATTAGATTAGATTAGATTAGATTAGATTAGATTAGATTAGATTAGATTAGATTAGGATAGCTCTCCACATATTGAAAATCTACAGGTCCCAATAGCCCAGGTCACTAGAGCCAATTGTGAAGAGACACAGTTTTCTTAAATCATAGGTTTATTGTTCCTGATTTATTCTCAGAGTGTTTCATGGCTAAAGGCCTTGTCCCTCAAAGTCTTTGCCGCAAGTACACATTTCAACTTGTGTATTTTCAATTGCTGCGTTCCTTTCTTCCACTGAGTTAGCCAAGGCATTAAAAAAAAAAAGGTAGCCAACTGGCATTCTATCCTCAATTTTCCACATTTGCTTTTTCAATCAGGAAAAAAATAAACAAAATTGGGGTGGCGCAAGTCATTGCATAGAAAAAGAAAGAGCTTCCAGAATGGAAACTGTGCTAGACTGCTAATATTCTTACCTTCCACTGTCAATTCCACAGTCACCTGGCGAATCCCACCAGCATTTCTGGCCTGACATGTATACAGACCACCATCTTCCTCCTTCACCCCTTTAATCATCAAGCTGAAAATCCCTCGGATGCTGCAATCTGCTACACAGCGCTCTCCTGTGACAGGGTGCTCATTTCTGTACCACGTGATCTGAGGTTCAGGGTTGCCTCTCACCTAAAACAGTTCCATATAGAAATAACCAGAGGGAAGAAATGGGGATTGAGGAAGGGAAAAAAAACAGAAAATGATTTTACCTGGAACAAATGTAGAACACTTTGCAAGCCAGTGGAAAAAAAGTATTTTCTGAAGTATTGTCTGTTAAACACATACAAATCACCAAGCGCCAAAAGGCAAAAATTCGAACAGAAAGAAGAGAATCTACAGATGCATCATGCTGTTAAACTAGCAATGTTGATCCAAGAACTACTTCTGCCTGTTGAGCTTTAAAAGCCAAAATTGAGAAATTTTGAGAAATAGTTTCAGATGATAAATCTATGACCCCATTTTTCAATCTGGTACGGCAGACATATAACAGTGTAAATTAAAACAACCATATGTAGGTTGAAAAATCACAGGATATAATTTCTTTTATCAGATGAATTCTCCTTGAAAAGTATTCAAAAACAGCATTGTTCAGACAATTCCATATAAACCAGCTGCAAAATAAAAAGCAAGCAACAGTAAGCGTGCAAAGTCTGGTCAACAACATTTTTCACAGATGAAAATCAGATCTCCCAGATAAATTTTGTAAATTTAACTATTCTTTTCCCTTTTGGATAGTAGAGAATAACAAAGAAGGCCAAAACATAGTAATTATCATCTGTGGAGTATTTCATGCATTCACATTAATCTGAGCTTGAGGAAAAATTATATTTGAATCTGATTTTCAAACATTCATTCAAAGGATATGTATTTTCAACAAGGTAAACTGGGAAATAATTTATTGATATTTCTATATAAACATATGCAAGTTAAGCACCAAGATTTACTGAATTATCTTCCTTGAATTTCGAGTTTGCAAATGATCATGCTCTCTTCTCATATAATTGCATCCAAGAGAAGTACAACAGCTATGAATATATTTAGGATTGTTCTCTAAGGACACATTCACACACACACAAAAGCATACTCAAGAAGCAACAGCTTTCAAGCATAATTACATTCTATCTGGTAAATTACAGCATTCAGGCCTTCTGTTTATAATCTGATCAGAGGAAGAAAAAAATCCAGATACATTCTAAATCCACAACTAAGACTAAATTTTTAATCTAACTCTGAGACCAGCAGAAGATTTTTCAAGATGTATCTAAAATATAGTACATAGACCATGAATTTCTGAAAGAAATTGAGTGCTATAGCTCATAAGCACATAATTAAGAGTAGCAGGGTATTTGTTATGCAGAAAGTCAGCCATATAAAGTCAAATCACTGTTGTTTTTCAAACACTACAAATCTTTTAAATATCACTCCCAAAGAATAAAATTGTCCCACCAAAAAAGTACTGTGGTACATTAAACCTAAAATTGCAGAATATTCTTTGTCATGCTAATAGTTTACTTTATAATCTAAATAACAAAATTTTTATTACAGAAGTCAGCAATTCATGATCATTAAGCAAATCTTTCAAAGTTAACATCATTCTCATGGATAATGAATAGCCCTAACAAATTCTCATCCAACTTGGTGCTCTTGAGAAGACTGTAATTTTAGCAGGTTAGAAACTACTAGGACAGGTTTAGCAGATTGTGATTTTCAATTCGTAGGATTTCTGCCTCAAGAATTCAAAGCAGAGCCAGTATTTTAAGTTTTAATTGCATTATTATTACAAACTTATTGTTCTTAAAATTTAACTGCAGAATTCACCTGGCAGCTACCAGAAGGGAAATTTAGAGACTTTTCTCTGAATAGGAATGGAATTCAATAAAATATTCTAATTATGAAGTAAAATGTACATTATTTAACTATAAATTCCAGATTTTAATCAAATTTCAGGAAGAACAAGTTATATACAATGACACACCATAGCTGCCACATGTTTGCCAAGAACAGAAAATGCTGACACGTCATAAAGAGATTGCCACCAATGTTTCGTCTAGAATCCCAGATGGCTTATTAACTAATAATAAAAAAAATGAAATCAAATTCATTCTAAACTACTCATGCATTTCAAATAACCCAATGCAATTTTCAACTACAACACAAAGAAATCACATTTTGAAATTCCACATCTGGTGATGTTTAGGTTCTTATTCCATATGCAAACAGTACGAATAAGTACGTTATTTTGAAATGATCCAAATAATCTATTATGCAAAGACAATATGCTTCATATTTAGACACCCCCACTCCCCGAAAGTGATCAAAATAGCAAAAAAAAAAAAAGCCAACAATAAAAAACGCTTTCCAATTCTCAGTTGACTCTAACAATTTAACTAGAAACCTTATCTTATACTTAGTTACTTGCAGATCTTTTCAAACCAGAGCGGTATATAAGTCCAATCAATCAATAAACAAATTTCACTAATCAAATACTTGTATCCTTATCAACAGTATAATGTAGTAGCTAAAATGCTGGGTAGAGAACAAGGAGTTACAAATTGAAGTTCCTACTTGACCAAAAAGCTCAGTGAGTGTATTTAGGCCAAACACGCTTCACACTTCCGTCTTGCTCTCACTCTAGTCTACCTTATAATATTGATTTGTCAGAATCAAATGAGGAGAGATCTTCTCTCATCTCTTTAATATGCTACTGAGTGCTCAAGAGAAAATATATGATATAATGCAACAAATAAGTAAATTTCATGACACTTATCTTTAGAAGTGGTGTGTTATCTATTTTTCATCCCACAATAAAAAAAAAGGGGGGGGGTGGACTTTCAAGCTACAAAGATCTATTAACCAGATCAACTAAACAGAACATCTACAGCCATTTGAGGTAGTCCAAACAAGAAACCCAAACCATGAGTAATAAACTACTTTTTGTTATCAAATTGTAGGAATAGAATATTGCAAGTGTGAAAGCACATCTCTCCTGCCTTACCTTTACTTTCTAGGGAACTTCTGAGATGTTTTCTATACCTCCGTTCCTTCTGTGGTCTGAGATATATCTTATATGACTATTGCCCTGGCTGTGGCTGTCTTTCAGGGATATTCCCAAAGTCCATTACAATATCCATATTGGAGGAATCATGCTAGTAATTAAAAAGGAACGTGAAAGCCACAAAAAATGGAGAGACTATATTCTGCCATTATAGTTCTAATAGCCACAATTCTACCCCACCCCCTAGAGTGATTAAAATATGATGTGTCTCTAAATAAAATGGTTTTCTAAGAACACTGCTATTTTTTTCCAGATAAATTTATACAATCATGTAATATCATGATTGCTACTGTTAAAGTAGCAATCAGATTTCTTCCTGTACAATTGAAGTGCCCTCAGGTGAATATGTCCCTTCCACTATCTTCAAGTGGTACAGTGTAATTAGACTGTGTACCTGAATTTAGAAAATACTGAAATGTAAGTCAAGAGACTGAATTTTTTTAAAGAACTTCAGATAACTTCAAAAGATAATATATAAAAATATGTTCAATAACTCTTTAAACATGGGCCTAACAAATCTCCATAGTTATGGATATTTTTCAAATTTGGTACCATCACCAAAACCCTCTGTCTTTTTTTTTTTCTTGCATGGCTGATTTGTGAAACAGGATGGGAAGCAGTCTTCTGGTTGAAATCAATGCAGATAATCTTCAATTTACGATCATAATTGAGCCCAAAATTTCTGTTGCTAAGCAAGACAGTTGTTAAGTGAGTTTTGTCCCGTTTTGTGATCTTTCTTGCCACAGTTTTTAAGTGAATCATGGCAGTTGTTAACTAAATAACAGGGTTGTTAAGTGAGTCTGACTTCCCCATTGACTTTGCTTGTCAGAAGGTCACAAAAGATGATCACATGACCCCAGGACACTGTAATTATCATAAAGCACATGCCAGTTGCCAAGTGTTCAAATTTTGATCACGTGACCATGGGGATGCTACAATGGTCGTAAGTGTGAAAAACAGTCATAAGTCATTTTTCCGGTGCCGTTATAACTTTGAACATTCATTAAATGAACCGTTGTATTGTAATTGAGGAGTACCTGTACAGATTCAATGAATTTCATAAACATAACAATTATTCTGATGAAGATTGAGCACTAGAAAAACTCTATTAACATTCATTCTTCCTTTTCCTATGGCACTGAAGGCACTATGCCAATGATGGAGTACTTTCTGTTGTTGCTGGTGAATGTATTAAGCCCCTATACCCTTTCATGACACAAACTTACAATTATCTGTTGTATTTTATCTGTATTCTAGACCATCTCAGATAATTATGTGGTAATAAAATTCAGTTCTCCCACCCTTTGATTTCAATTCTTCCCGATAATAAGCAATGACATCTTTGCATTATTAAACAATGCAGTAATGGAGAGAGAAATTACAAATAAAGGTAGACAATAATTATTTTTGTAAAGCACATTTGGGAGTACAGTACTAAAACAATTAAAGTAATGAAACATCGTTATAGAAACTATAGTTTTTCCAAAACAAAAGCAAAACAAATACAAAAATTGTTAGTAAAGTTAAGCTGAGAATAACATCATTTTTTTATATATATTCTTGTAACAGAAAACTGTTCATGACTGATCTATAAGAGACAAGGTCTAGTAATAAAAAAAAAATCAGGCAGCAGCTGCAAACCATACTCTTGAACATTATTTTGCTCTTTTTAATGTATCCTTGCAAAAATCCAGGAGGACTGTGGTATAGAAGTCAGTGTCATCATTTGTCATAACAACATATTAACTTTAATTCTTTCAGGAATTCAGGCATAAATGCACTTTAAATTGGTTCTGCTTAGATAAACTAGAGTTTTAACACTCCAAAAGTTTTATCTCCCATTTTTAATGATAGAAAAATTACTACAAGATTCAAATAAATTACAGTCAAGATCACCAGCACCATACTAGAATGAAGTGGGATAAATTTTCAAGTAATAAACCAGAAATATAGCTGCACTGTGATGTCTGGCCAACTAAAAAGCAAACTATACATTCCTCAGAACTTCTTGATATGGTTTCTGCTTCTATATATTGTATTAAAAATCCTCAAAAATGTCTTATGGCTGCTAAAA